ATTGACACCATTAATTATACATTTTCGGAGTTCATCTCCAAGAGTAGAAGAAGTACTAAGATGTCCTGCCACAGCGATAATTAAGACACGAATTGTCTCATAGAAAGATGATTGAAGGATATGCATGTATCATGGAACTGTACAGGTGGACGAAAGAAACGACAGAAGGAGAACACCCATGCATATCATGAATGCGGAATCTGTTTATGGTCTTGGACGCGGAGGCAAAATGTGACCACAACCCTAAACCATGAAGGACTTGCAATCAGCTACGCAGAGCTGCGTAGGTACCAACATGATCTCGCATCTTTCACGGCACAGCACAACCAAAACCGCGTTGCGCTACCCTGTCACTTTGATCCCGGGCAATTCACTTCTGGCGCCATTGACAATTGGGATCATGAGAGTACAAATGTATCGGAGCATGATACAGTGACTGTACTTTACGAAGACAGCCCGTCATCATTGTACTACCCGTAAACCCAAGATTTCTGATACTCAGGTCAGACACGGCCAACAAGCTTTTAAGCAAATCCTACCATATCAAATTCTCTCAGATTTCCACAAATCTGCTCGCCGTCCTGACCTTCCTGCATCCTACGAAGTGAGCAACGACGACTATTCATCTGTAAATGCTGATGCAGCTAAACTGAAAGATACTATCTGGTCCATTGCCCGCGTAGATGTCACCCAAAATCAGGGATCCATCTATCCTCCATCACAAACAATGCCTTCTTGGAGTGCAAGCAACACTGTAGTGTATGGACAGAGGAGAACATCCCAGAAAAGAACTGGCTTGTTAACAAAAATCACGTGCTATTTAGCATGCTGTGCCCATCAATTTCCTCGTAAATCTGCATTTTAGTGAGACCGTAAGCCCCGCCCCTTATTCCTTATATGGCATGCACGGCAGCTAGCTTCGCTCTGAGCCGAGGGCTTATCCGTTATCTGCCGATTTTTCAGACACATCGTCGCCAGCGCAGTTCGAACGTGTGGATTACATAAGGTCAACGCGTTAACGCCTAAATTACAGCAGCTGTAGTACCCGCGTGGGTGCGGCGTATATAGTAGTAGGCCTATAGCAAGCGTAACAGAATTAGTATGTACAGTGTATCATGGGTATATGTTTTGCTATTTTATAAAACTACAAGATAATCCGCTGACCGCTGTGGATACGTGCGCCGGGCCTACAATGTGGCGCACGTATCCACTGCGGGCAGCGCTTCATACTTGAACATCTCCGCTGTCGCGTGCGCATATATCCCGCGGAACAGCGCGTGTTGTCAGCGCCGCTCAGCACCTCATGATCAACAGCCAAGCTGTGCAACGCAAACTTGTATCATATCTCACTGGATTTCCCCGGAGCTTCGCCCACTTTCAAAATAGTGCACGCTAGCATTGTGGCAGTGGTATCCTGAGTGTGGGAAGGGGCGCTGCATGCAGTTTGTGTAGAGACATCACGGTGAGGGGACGTGCAATGTAGTACGTCACGCCCTGCAATGTAGAGACATCACGGTCACATGCTGCAGGCGATATTCGGTACATGCATGGGAAGAGGGAAAGTTGTGGCCATTGAAAGGAAGAATTAAGGGTAAGGGCCATGACGGGTTCATTTAGAAGCCTATTAAGAACAACATATTTACAAGTTTTGTGTTTGTAACTACAAATGGCCTAGGATGACTACTATTATTCTACTACTATATATACTACAATTCGATCAATTTTTGAAGTCATCGGGGTACACGTCATTATGGAATCCCTACCACTATGCCGTGTAAAATGACTTAATGGAACGTACAATACTCGAGGAAACGTAGAAGTATTAATTGTTGTCCATGTTGTAAAGATGGAAGGCAGACAGGTAGTGTGTTGTAATGAAAATATAAAATAAATAAACCGAACAAGTCACTCAAGCAAACTCCACGATCAAGAGTCACAATACATTTATTTCTATTTTAAAACAAATGTAATCAATTCAGTAGGTTACACGGCTGCAATACAATCACAATTTACTCGCCTGCATACATTTTATAACAACCACAAAATTTCACTAAGTATCAAATATATTGTTCCCCAGTGATAGCACCACCAATGATATAATATAAAGTCCACAACATATAGTACAATATATAAATTCTGCTAAAAATCTTATTAACTATCTACTACTCAACATGATTACAACTTACCAACTACAGGTACGTAAATTTCGCATTGATAAAATCAGAATATTTTTTAACTACGAGTAAAATTGTATGGACAGAAGCAGGCAAAGTGTAATACCGCAGAAGTACACAGTAAGCAATTAGCAAGAGAAAAGTGGTAGAACCACAATTATTCTATTGTTCTATTTTCGGTACATGCCCAGCTGTGTAGTCGTGACCATGTGACCAGCCATTCAGTAGAGACAACCAATTACAGGCGGTCGCGCTACAGCCTTTTAATTATTATTATTGTAACGTCTTATTGTATTATAGTTATACTAATGTATTATTATCTCTTGATAACATGTATACGGGCGGTTTAGTCTCGTAGCAGCGCCCAACTAACAGTGTATGTAGTAGCTAGCTACTCCCTCTGGTGGCTGGGGGGATGAAGCTGATGTCACTTCAGCAAGCAAGTAGTTTCTCCATCGTTTAGATGTGAAATGATATGATGTCTTTCGTTATGAGCGCATCACAGCCAGCGCGAGTAGACACGTCATGGCCGCCATGCCACTCAGATGCAGACGACCTGCAAATGATAAACGTGCAGTCACGCAAGTATTACCCCACCTTGTTGCTACCTTTATTACGTTAATACGAGAATGAGTGGAAATATAATTACGTTTTGCACGTCACTTCTTATCGAAGCGAATCAATCAATTTAATTACATTCTTACGCTAATTTATTACGTTACAGTAACATATTATGCTGTTATTTTAACGAGTAAAGTACCTTTAGTTTAACTAGTAATTTACATAGTTAAAAAAAGTATACCAGGAGTACGTAATAAAAGCGTAGTATACGTACCGGCAGCGGTCGACTCCGTCGTCGGCGTGTAGGTGGTGCCATCCGTCGCGCCGGTGGCGACGGGCGTCGTGCAGCTTCCGCACATGTCACACGCGGCGACCGTGGCGACCGACTCGCCGCGAAGATGATACGGCGCCTCGCACGTGCCCAGCTCCGTCTCCTCCTCCAGCCACGCCTCCTCAACGACCCAGCTCAGCGCGCAGTCACACGTGAGCGGGTTGCCTGCGTGAGACGACGACGGCATGTAAGTCACGAGTCCACAGTGTTCTCCCCCTATTGTACACTATTGTACTTCTCCTACTATTCCTACAGTGCTCTCCCTCTATTGTACACTATTGTACTTCCCCTGCTATTCCTACAGTGCTCTCCCAGTCTCCCCCTATTGTACACTATTGTACTCCCCCTGCTATTCCTACAGTGCTCTCCACCTATTGTACACTATTGTACTTCTCCTACTATTCCTACAGTGCTCTCCCCCTATTGTACACTATTGTACTCCCCCTGCTATTCCTACAGTGCTCTCCCCCTATTGTACACTATTGTACCTCTCCTACCATTCCTACAGTGCTCTCCCAGTCTCCCTCTATTGTACACTATTGTACTTCCCCTACTATTCCTACAGTGCTCTCTCCTTATTGTACACTATTGTACTTTCCTTGCTATTCCTACAGTGCTCTCCCCTTATTGTACACTATTGTACTTCTCCTACTATTCCTACAGTGCCCTCCCCCTATTGAACACTATTGTACTTCCCCTACTATTCCTACAGTGCTCTCCCTCTATTTTACACTATTGTACTTCCCCTGCTATTCCTACAGTGCTCTCCCTCTATTGTACACTATTGTACTTCCCCTACTATTCCTACAGTGCTCTCCCAGTCTCCCCCTATTGCACAATATTATACTTCCCCTACTATTCCTACAGTGCTCTCTCCTTATTGTACACTATTGTACTTTCCTTGCTATTCCTACAGTGCTCTCCCCTTATTGTACACTATTGTACTTCTCCTACTATTCCTACAGTGGTCTTCCCCTATTGTACACTATTGTACTTTCCTTGCTATTCCTACAGTGCTCTCCCCTTATTGTACACTATTGTACTTCTCCTACTATTCCTACAGTGTTCTCCCCCTATTGTACACTATTGTACTTTCCTTGCTATTCCTACAGTGCTCTCCCCTTATTGTACACTATTGTACTTCTCCTACTATTCCTACAGTGCTCTCCCCCTATTGTACACTATTGTACTTTCCTAGCTATTCCTACAGTGCTCTCCCCTTATTGTACACTATTGTACTTCTCCTACTATTCCTACAGTGTTCTCCCCCTATTGGTAACACTAATTGTATTTCCCCTACTATTTCTACAAGTGGCTCTCCCCCATACTCCTGCCACAGGAATCTCTAACCACGAAGAGGACCATGCAATGCTAATAACCCTATATAATATAACAATACGTACTAAATAAACAATAAACAGAATAAACTAATAAATAACGTAATTAAAGTAACTTAACAATTACATAATGAACAAAATAAATTTACCAACAAACAAGAGCGCCAGCAGCATCTGGGCTCATCGAGTTCTGTTGGCTACCGGTTATTAAACGTAACATTTAAGTCGCGCGTAGTGCCACCTTTGTTTAGGCCGCAGATATGGCAGATACGCAGTTGCGTACACATCACTTCAGCAACCTGCTCCCATTCTGTATACCTCACCCAATCCCATTGGTCTGACCAAATCACGAGCCTGAAATTCTGTTTTATGGGCCATTGTGAGCCTAAACCCTAACCCTATTTTTAAAAAATATTAATTGTTTGCTACAAATTATTGTGTTTATTAAATTGTTGTAAATAAAATCATGCTAAAATTTTGCGTTAATATCGAAAAAAAAATAGTTAAATGGATACAAAATAAGAAAAATACAGAAACACAGTAAATAATCAAAAATCTGAGCGGATTCCGATCAAGGTATCTTTGAGGCCGTAATCCTGCTGCTGTATCCGTGGGCTATCCAGACATATTGCTTTCGTAACGGACTTGCGCCCCGGTTATGCATGCAGCGCAACAGCGCGCGCGCAGAAGCCGGGCCCCCACAGCTGAATACGCCGCCCTTTTTGCTCACTTAGACAGATATCTTAGACAGGGGTCTAAATAACGAACTCCGGCCAAAAAACTGCCGGCGAATCACGACATTTGCCGATCGACGGTTAAAGGCCATCTCCAAACGGCCCCTAAACTTTTGGGGTGGCGCACCTCACGGGTAAACGCGTAAGTGCTCCATACAAGAAACCCAAGAAATTCTGTCAATCAGCGACAACCATGCCGCTCCGCTCATTGGCCGCCCGCCGATAGTGTCAGTCTATCACAGAGGTTTTAACAAAGTCTGGCTTAGGCTGCTCCACTGTGGGGCAGCGCCGGTCTAGATCATCTCCAAAAACTGCCAACCGCGCGGTGCCTGGCTTGCGTACCGTGCGCCAAGTTTTTCATCAACCTCCTGGACCCAGCGCGCTGCTCGCTGGCGACGGCAACGTCGTGCGAGCACGTTGGTGGCGTGCGCCGTGCCATTTTTACACGCAAAGCCTAATGTACGTACACGTGAGATACTGGCAAAGCAGCAGCAGCAAAAATACTCGCCCCTTGCTGCAAGCCGCTTCCTGCCAGCAGCAAACCAGCAGCACCACCACAATACTGCCTTGCCGTCCCTGGCTGCAGCTGGCGCCCCTGGAGCCAGCAAAGCAGCAGCCAGCCAGCAAATACCCCCACCAAGGCCGCCATAGCCAAGTTGGTGTAGGCTGTGACGAAAACTGCGCGCATGTTACGTTCCCGCTACTAGCGATTCGCACGCCCCCTCCTTCGCCGTGCGCCGCAATTCGTATAATGGGGCAGCCGCGCAAGATGCCCAACATACAACACCGCGGTCGCGTGCCCCAGCTCCGCGGAAGCTGCGCGCTTAACCGCTCATTGGCGTCGCGCGAACAAGCATCGTTTGCGCCAACGCCATCTTGCCTACCCAGCTCCTCTCTGGATTATGGATGTGGCCATNTTGTATTTCCCCTACTATTTCTACAGTGCTCTCCCCCATACTCCCTGCACAGGAATCTCTAACCACGAAGAGGACCATCAATGCTAATAACACTATATAATATAACAATAACGTATAAATAAACAATAAACAAAATAAACTAATAATAACGTAATTAAATAACTTAACAATTAATAATGAACAAAATAAATTTACAACAAACAAGAGCCGCAGAGCATCTGGGCTCATCGGAGGTCTGTTGCTACGGTTATAAACGTAACATTTAAGTCGCGCGT